GGAAATAGTCTGTTTCTGCATTGATACAGCTATTTTTGCTCAACAAAACGACATTGCAGTGAGTGTGATGTGTGGAACTTTCCTTATGTTGTAGGCCTATTTGCACTGAATTATTTGCAAAAGTGCTGTAAAATCATGTATCATTGCTGTTTATTTATTGGTAGCTGAAAAGGCCAGAGTCAGTCAAGGAGTTTGATGCCAGACATAGAAGTGGAGAGGAGGAGGAAGGCAGAGATGAGCAGGGTGAGGAGGAGGAGGAAGAGGAACCACTAAAAAGCAGTGTACATGTGCATGTGCAGTACTGTGTTTATGATGGGTCTTTGTAAAATATATTAATGTCCTGAGATCTGAGGATTGTAGTATAAATCTAGTCTTTTTGACATCTGAAAGAGGCTGAAAATTCCACAATTTCCCTTCACAGTGTATTTTTCTTTCTTCTGACTGATCTATAAATGAGTTTTATCCAGTAATTGTTCACTCTCACTAGCCCGATGATCTAAACTGGTTTTAATACTTTTGTGAGTGTTCCCAAATGTGTACAAGGTAAAATAAATAAAATCTACATCTTTTTTCACAAACAAAGGAGACTCACTCTGGATAAAAACATTTCACCAAATCTTTCAGGAGAAAGTGAAAATATGTTTGAGGGGACATTATTGGTCTTTCTCATGTTCTTGTGAAAAAGACTATTTTGGACTAAAATGCTGTGGTCTTAAGAGGCTCCTCCAGTCACATAGAAACATTAAGCCTATATGCACCTCTGCAAGTTATGCTAGTGGCTTTCTGAATTAGACATCTGTCTTCTTTTCCAGTGTTAATGAGCTATTTATAATCTTGATTATTACCGATTTTCTTTTAATGCAGATAAAGCAGCACAAGATACAGGGATGGATGGATGGATGGTTCTTATAAGTCTTGTCTCTGTTACAGCATACTGTAGGTCATAATATAACCCTTTAGTCATTAAAAAAATGTGTAAAATAAGGAATAGAAAATGTAATGCAATGCAAAATGTGTGTGATAATTGAAGAAGTGTTTTCTTAGAGTTCATCGGTGAAAAAAGGGGTACCTTTTTCAGGTAGTCAGTAAAAAGGGGTGTGTTTTCAAGGCTATGTCAGTGAAAAGGGTATAGTTTTCACAAAGTCCTTGGTCAGTGTTTAGGGGTGGGGTTCARAAAGTCATGTATGAGTGTAAGGGTCAGCTTACACTTCTTATAACAAGGTTATAAGAGTAATTTAACTAGCAAGGATCTCTTTTATTTTGAAAAATAATTTCTTTAGTACAAAAATGAATGGACACAAAAAGTAACTCTCAGTCAGTAAATGTCGATTTGAACCATAATATGTGATCATTTATTTTACAAATCATAAGAAAATTGACTTGAGTACACCAGATTGTGAACAATTAATTTCCTATAAAAAGTTTTGGGACCAACAACAACAAGCTTTTAACTTCTTAATTG